CATTCATTCATTCATTCGTTCTTCTTCTTTCGGGTTTATGCGTTTGGGTTTTTCTGCGCTTATTTCATGTTGCGTTTTATTATTGCTATGGGTTTAATTAGCCGAGTTTCAGTGGGGTTCATTCGCAATAAACTACAATTCAACGCATGTCTTCACATCGTTCTTCTGCTTCAACCATCCACATTGGAATAGGACTCAACTCTTATTTCATAATCAAAGGACCAACATTTCAACAAAAAGAGTTGCAATCAATCTACTGAATACCTCATAAGAATCTATTAGAATAAAGCTAACAAAAAACTTTCACGACATATGCCGAAAGATGTTTATTTGTTCGTGAATTCTTAACTTTTATTTCTGTCGTAGAGTAATAATATCGTTGCCGATTAGAAATTAAGTATTTTTATGAAATTTTTAACTTCAGTCAAGCTTCATTGATTTCTTAGACAAGCTTTTTGTAACTTTTCAGCTGACAATGACTTAAGCAATTTTCAAATACAACAATACATATATGTTCCTTCAAAAGGCATTGTTGTTTAGCGATTTGAAATGACACATTCAAAATTACTAAAAAGTTTTTGAATGTATTGAATGTTTTGAGTTAGATATTGTTAAACCATCTTATTGCTCCAATACCAATCTATTGGTTCAGAAGTTCGAAATTCTAAATTCCAGTAAAACAAACAACAACCAGTGGTATTCTCAATTTCATGAAATATTTTCCATACCTGCCTCTTCTTCAGAATTGCACGCATTTTCTTTTGCTAACTTCTCAACATTCTGAGCAAGCACCAATTTCATATACATGCCAGCATGTTTCATTAGCTCTTCATGTGTACCTTAAAGAAATGATCATTTATTGATGTAAAATTTGACGCTAAATTAAAAATTATCGAGACTCTTTTCTGGGTTGGTTCAGTTTTTCTCGTTAACCTCTTTCAATAACTCTTCCATGATCCATTACAATGATATGATCAGCATTTCGAATTGTTGAAAGACGATGTGCTATGGTGAGAGTGGTACGTCCAGCACTAGCCTGAAATAAATATGCAAACAAGTAAATGTACATTTCACCTAAGTAAAAGAGAATAAAAAATTAACGAAAACATCTCTTTTTACTTTTTTTAAAGCATGCTGTACAATTTTCTCGCTTTCAGTATCCAATGCAGTGGTAGCTTCGTCGAGAAGTAGAATTTTCAGATCTTTTATTAGAGCACGAGCTATAGCAATACGTTGTTTTTGTCCACCGGATAGCTGTACACCACCTTCACCGATACGTGTTTTATAACCCTAAATAAATTTTTGACAAAATTGCGAATATAAAATATTAAATACAAAATGAAACAGATATTTAAATTACCATTGGAAGTTTTTTAATGAAATTGTGTGCATTTGCTACTTGACATACTCGTTCCATCTCTTCAATTGTCATTTTTTCATTTCCTAAAAAATATTCATTTTTGCAAGAAAAGAATTATTAAATTTTGCAAATTAATAAAAATCTAATTTCATGAAATATTTTTGATAGAAAATTATTATGAATTTTTGAATTTTTTTCTCATTTTAATATCATTAATATTTCATAAAGTTTTATTGATGAAATATTACCGAGTCGTATATTCTCCTCAACAGTTGCCGCAAAGAGTACAGGTTCCTGTGATACCACACCTATCATTTGGCGCAACCATCGAATGTTGATCAGATTGAGCGGAATACCATCAATTGTTAACTAAAAGTTTTTATCCTATCCATCACATTTCTATTTCAGCTAATTTTAATGCTGGCTTAATAATAATGGTATGATAGAATTAGTGTAAGATATCTTCGATTATCTTTTGTACGTTTATATTCTTGCGTTCATATTCTACTAGAATTCATAGCCAAAAGTTTACAATTTAAACTAGCCTTTCAGCAAGCATAGAATCCTATCAATTTTATTAAGGCTTAATTAGTCTTTGTCAACGAGAGGCCGTAGTGAGATCTACGAATTGAAATTTATTGAAACCATTCAATCCAATTTATAATTTGAAAATTCATAGAAAATAATTTACCTCACCACGTCCTTGATTGTAATATCGAAGTAGTAATCCAATTAAAGTACTTTTGCCACATCCGCTTGAACCAACCAGCGCTACTGATTGCTCTGCTTTCACCTATTTTTCAAATAATAATTTAGCCGTGATATTGCAAATCAAATGTGATTCATTTTTAGTTTTTCTTTCTCATTTTTAAAAGTAATTTCCTCAATTTTTTTACTTATAGTACCTTTTCTTCTACTGTATTATACTTTCATTTCTTCAGCATAATTGATTTCAGCTTTAATTTTATATTAAAATCTATACCTTAAAGCTTATTCCTTTTAGAACCTCTTCTTCTGGTCTTGTAGGATAGCAGAAATGAACATCCTTAAACTCAATTTCACCTTTCAGATTCGCTGTATTTATTCCTTCTGAACTTTGGCAATCGATTTCCGGTATCTGTACAGTAATGATGGTTGAAATGAGCATACATATGAATAATCTAACTTTTTTCATAAAATGATATAGTACTTTGTCAGTTATAGTCATCATTGTCATATTACTATTCAATCAATTCAGTACGGTACGCTATTTAATCGCTCTTTAAATTCAAGCACTGATTGATATCTCTGTAAATGTCTGGATGAAATGAAGTGAGCATTAAAAAAAGTTTAAATTTAAAAAAAAAAAAACTTTGTATTCAAAATTTTTATAATGCTAAACAAAACGTAAAACGCTTTGCTTATTGATCGAAATTAATTATCAGTTATGTTCATTACTATATTCATTATTGAAATTTATAAAAAAATAACGACATCACATTCACTATATGTTCATTACTCACTAATTTTCGAGAAATGCAAATTTTAAAGTTATTCTGTTGATTACCGAGAAGACTTATAACTTACTCGATCAATAACTTCAAAAATGGAACTTGCTGCAGTTTGTGCAGTCAATATTGTACCAATTTGTGGTACAGCTATACCAAGTGATAAAGTACCACTTATTGCTGCCCAAAAGGTAGCAAATATAGCACCTGGCTGAATAAAGCCATTGTTGTATAATCTTGTACCATACCTCAAATACTCAAACTTATTGGCAGCGCATTTTTCTCATACATTTCTTCCTCGGTTTAATACAAAAGTAAATATATGCATCGAAGTATGATTAACATAGAGTATAAAAAGTAAGCAATTTTGAATTATTTCATTGAAATTGCTACTATTTATTATTTGAATAAAATTTTATCTCTACAAAACTCAAAATACTAATTTAACTAAAAATTCATTAATTATACATGAGTGTTAGCTATTTACACAAAAAAAAAAATTCCACTAACCAGAATGCAATACCCATTGCAATGAAGATGAGACAAAAAAGCCATGCAGTTCCAAGTGCAATAAACAAAGCCTTACGTCGACCAAACGCCAATGCTTTGTTCAATTCATTTTGATATCTGAATTTTTTTTAATTTTTTATAAAATTATAAAATTACTGTTGAGAATGCAATGTCTTATTTGTCTAGTAAATTAAATTATCAGTCATTTTGCTCATAATATTTGAAAAGAATGAGATTCCTTTCATTCTCTATTTCATCTTTCCTTCAATTTAGTATATCAGTATCATAATTAATACTGATAACAAAGAGAGAAAGGCTGAAAGGGAGTGAGAGGGAGAGAAGAAGATTATGATTATAACAAAATAAATGTTGATTCATTCTTGAGAATACCTGCTAATCTCCTTCTTTTGACCATTTAAAGCGATAACTGTCCGAATTCCAACAATTACTTCTTCAGCTACTGCGCCCGCTTTCTCATATGCACGCAATTCTTTTCGTACACTTGTTGATACAAGCTGAATTTGGTATTATTCACATATTAATTATTTCAAATTTAATAACAATTTTCGAAAGAAATTGATTCTCATTTCTGTTCCACGAACACAATTGAAAGATTATATTAACTGCTCAAAAATATATTTCATTATTTAATCACGCGCTATCTTATCATAAATCACAATGTGCTACCGAAGCTTTTACAATGATTTTTGGATGTATAAAAATCATATGAGCAAATATCATCGCGTTATTTCTTAATTAATAGTTGAAATGATTTTAATTTACCATCATAATTTAGCAATTTTTTTTAAGAGATCAGACTTACTGTCGTTAAGAAACCCATTAGCCCGGCCAAAATGGGCATAAAAATCAACATTATCAACGTCATCCGCCAGCTGCAAGAACAAAAAGAAAATTACATTTTTGAAAACTAAAATATGAGAGTTTTTGAAATTTAAACTATCTAAAACAGTCTTCTTCTGATTCTAAATTATTTGATAGTTTGTTAGGTTATCTTCTCTAGAATGACAAGGATTTTGAGGAAAAAAATGCAAAAAAGCAATTTTTATCCTTAAAAATGAAAATATTTGATCAAAATGATCATTCAACTATTTTAAAATTGCTTAAAAAGATAATTGTAGCTTACCTGCATATGAAAGCAACAACTAAGCCACCTATAAACGCTGTTCCACACGAAAATAAAATACCCACTTTGTCACCAATGCCATCTTTTATCCTATCAATTCCACTAAAATATTGAAATTAATTTTAGAAATTTTGTTACATTTCGATTCAAAAAAGTATTAATAAATTCCATGCACTCAAAAATAGTTTTCTTTTGTTGCATTTATTTCTGGATGTGATTCTCAAATAAATAGAAATTACATTAAAAGATACTGAAATCTTAAATTATATTGGAATTTTTTCTCGGTTTATATTTTTACATATCTCCCATACAAATAATAATTTCAGGCTTTGAAAAAAATTCATTAACATTTTTCAATTATCCTATTTATAAGTCTATTTTAAATAACAATCGCTGTCTTGAATATTGTTGTGTAAAATAGATTTATAAATAAATAATTTAAAAAATTACTCATATCAAAGACTTCCACAACTAACCAATGAAATACCATTACTTTCATCGATTCTTTACTTATTCGGTAAAGCGAAAATTGAAGCATTATGTATATTTCGAAATTTTTGATTTAAATTAAATCACACGGTGATTTAAAGACTTACACCGAAGACAGTGTCAGGCAGGGAGTTTGATTCTTACATCTGTCAAAGTGTAATGGGTATCCTAAGGTTAACTAAGAGAGAATGGAAACCTCTCGTAGAATTAAAGGTCAAAAGCTTGGTTTTTTTCTATTTAACCATTGAGACAATTTTCTGTCGCATGCGAGATATAAACATTTTTTGATAATGAAGAAAGACCTAAAATATTCTCTTTATTATGGCCAAATAACTTGAATATTGATCTAGGATTTAATTTTAAAAGTCTTTACAGCAACATACTCAGACATCTTCGTCATCAATTCACCAGATGGATGCTTATCGAACCAACCCATGTTCTGTCGCACTACGGCCGCGAAATAATGTTTACGAATTTGGTAAATTTGTCGCTCACAAACTGTATGCCAACAGATCATCTACGTTATGGTTATTACAAGTTTGAAATTGAAGTTTAAAACTTGAAATGAATAAAGTAAGAGAAAAATGGAGGTCAAGAAGTGAGAATAAGCTGAAATGACACAATAGCATAACCCTTATTAGTAAACATGCTAATCTTTAGTAGCTATTTACAAAAAAGAAATCATAGATGATTTATGACAAAATAAAGAACCGTGTTTCACTTAAAAATTCCTTCCTCTAATAATCACTGATAATCTGACCTACAGCTAAATTTAATCAGTCAGTGACTCAACCTTAATGATCCCAATTTCTTTTAACACTCATAAATGGCACTATTTGCTGTCTCCAAGAAATGTCAGCGAGAATCAGCTCATGTAATTGAGTGCATTATCTTAGATAACTGCAAAAACTGTGATATTTTAAGTAATTAAAATAGAACGCCTTAATTGCAGAACACACTTACAGAAACGGTTGCCAGAATGAGAATTCCAATACCGTATCCAAAATACATGTAAACAGCAACCATTGCCCCATTATGGAACTTCAGTTCATCAAAATCTTCTGTTCTCCATTTTGCTTGACCTTCGATTAGTGTTTCTGATAATCCTTTGAAAATGATTGCTTGAATAGCTTGTAGAGAGCCTTGAGCTAAGCTCAATAAAATTCCAGCCGTTAGCAAGAAATAATCGAAAGGTTTCGCATAACGATACTAAAATTATTTTGATGAATTAGTTGAATTAATAAATTAAAAGCAAATATAGAAGAAGATTCAAATGTTGAAATTAATATCCAAGAAGGGTATTAAGTAAAAACAAACGATCGATAAGAAGGGTATTCGTTCCATAATAATTCTCGTTTCATTCTTTCGGATATCATTTTTTAAATTCATTCGCGATTCGAAACCATTCTTTACTCGTCTATAACGTACAGTCATATTTAATTTTGCTAATAATAAAAAATGGTTAAAAAACTGATGCAGTTAAAAATTTTGTAAGTTTAAATGAATAAAAAGCGATGGTCAAATAACGGTTATCGATGATCGATAACTCCAATATTTTAATATGTAATTTTCAACTTATAATTATTACTTTTTAACACTCAATGACTGCAGATCATAACTGTCGTTTCTTAATTTTTCAGAGTTATTATTTTTGACTGATAGGAATGATGACCCTCTATTGGTATCTTTCATTTATATTCCTGAAACTTTTTATTTTATTTAGAAGAACAAAATTAAATATCTTATCTTGTGCAAAAAAAAAATTATATTAAAATTCTTGCGATTCGTGCGTAAGTTAACTTCAACAGTTTTTTTTTTTTAAATTGTTATGTTAAACAAAATATTGTTTTAAAATATTTTTTTGGGATTCGTTTTTGCATACTTTTTGTTTATTATTCAATATTAAAAAATGCTACTAAAAATGAGCCGGAGGGTGTGAAAAAATAAATGTTCTGATATGAACATTTACAATTTATGAAATAAGATAGGAATGAGATGAAAAAATATCGTTATTGATCTAACGACAGAAATTTTGTTAAAGACATGGAAATTTGATAATTATGGAACTAATTCTAAAATTTAGTAGTTAAAGCTAATTGCTTTCAATTTATCATTTTACTTCGATCTTCTGTGAATCAATTCAAATGAATCAAAAGTTTAATTGCAATGCTACTTATTTATTGCCTATGGATTAAAATATTGAAATGCAAATATTGCAAATTTTTTTCATGAACTCACAATGCTTGGAAAATTTTGAAAACCAAAAAAGCGAAGAAGTTTTGAAATTGTAAGTTTGAAGTCTCACGTTAAAATTATTGAACAAAGTGGCAAATGACTGATAGAAAGATATAAATGGGGAAGAGAAGAATTGAAGATTTAGGAAATTAACGAAAATCAAAAGAAGAAAATCAATGGATAATAATAGTACGAATGACACTGACTGATTGTACTGTTAAGTGAACGCTCGGACATGCGTTCTTGCTGATAAGCTGAAATTAGAACGATGCGACAAAGCATTTTCCCCCTTCCTGTCATCCTTGTCATCTCTCATTTTCCCGATCATTCTATTAGCTCATCGTGAACTTATTTCTGCAATGAAAAGAAAAAGAAAAATTATCAGTCAATCATTTGCAGTGCATTCCTTTTTGCTTGCAGAGAAAAAGAAAATTCCTTAACATTCTGTGTTATCTAATATTTCACTTATTGCTGCCGTAAATTTCATTTTATAAAAAGGAACGCACAAATGAGCGATTTATTTCACAAAGATAAATAAATGTGTATTTAACAGCTACTGTAATGGTTTGAAAATAACTTTTAAAAAAAAGCCGACATATGTAAGATTGGCAAATTTGTGCAGTTAAATCAGTTAGAGAATTTTCGATTTCGATGTATTTGAAATTAAAATTTGTTTAGTTGCACAAATTGTGATACAAAATGAAAGTCATTTTGGCCAAGAAAATATTTGATAATTTTAATTGTATTAGCAATTGGAACATGAAATTTAATGTAAAACTTCTTTTTCCCTTTCCAAAAATGAAAAGATAAACAGACGAAATGATCTATTTATCAGTCGGCAAAAGTGAATGATCTGATTGTTATCAGTACTTTTTTCATGTTCATTAATTTTTCGGATTTCTCAATAAACAGACCAAAGTCATTTAAGAATTTAATGCAATATATTTAGCTGAAATTTATTTGACTCTACAGATAATGATATGAAATGCTCAAAAAAATATCTGATTAATTTTATGTTATTAAAAATTCTTTTAAGAAAAAAGTCTTTTAGTTAAATCATAGAAATTTATCAGTATAGTAAAACTTACCTTCATTAAAAGTGTATTTAGCATGAAAAGGGTGGATAAATAAGCTAATTATTCGAGAAACACTTCCAATTTTTCGTACATTTTGAGCACCTGCAAACTATATATATTCAAAATTATTTACTCACTGATAAGAACAGTGTAAATAGGAAGAGTAATATAAAAGGAAAAGTTTTCCGTATAGTCTGAGAAAAAGAAACAAGAATTATGTTGAATTTTTCTTTAATATACTAAGTTTATAATATTAATATCGAAATCTCTGTCAAGATTGAATGCATATTTAAATAATTATATATTTTTACTAATTAATATTGACTTATTTGAATCTATGAGATAGAAATTGAAAGACTATTATACTTGTAAGACATCGCCTGTAGTTTATTTTAATTACCTTTTAAAATTTTTCGTAAATAAACAAACATATAATTTCCAAATCCTTGACTTTGCACTTTTAACTTCCTCAGACATCAATGCTGCAATAAATCTTATCTTACCAATCAATTACAAAATATTTCTCAATTTAACAACTGTAGTTTTTCAAGTTGTAAAAAACAATTAATAAAAAGAAATTGAAATAGTTGCAAAAACAATTAATAAAAAAGAAAGATTTAGAAAAACAGGTGAAAAATAATTAGGAAAGTATGCAAAGAAGGAAGAAAAAATTTTGGTATAAGTCAGCTTTCTTACTATGTTAACGAATTTGCATATAAAATATTTAAACTTATTTATTGGCAATATATTTGAAATAGACAGATATGTAAAGAAGCAAGAAAGGATTTTGGTGTGTTTGTTAACAAATTTGCATATAAAATATTAAAATTTATTTATTGAAAATATACTTAAAAGTCATCTAACTTGTCATTTCTTAAGATTTTTCATCAATGGAAGCGGTCGATTCGAAATGCAATGGGTAATGAATGATTTGATTTTTTGTGATTTTATATTTCATAAAAATAACAAAAGTGGTAATCTTTGCTTCTTTGGCATTTTTTGAGAAAAATAAAAAACTTTTGGACTTTCAAGATTGACTGAGAATAAAATTTTCGAGATGTCCGATCAAGCATCATCAACAAAAAAACGTTTACCTACACGACGTTACAGTCAAGTGATTACAGATCACTGTTTCTGGGCCACTGATTCATTATTAACAAGTGAAGTAAGCTCGTAAATTTTTTTTTATCACAATTTAATAAAAAAAGAACATTAAAATTATTGTGTTTTGAAATAATTACCTGACCAGAGAAATATTTTTATTGATTTGCAAAAAATACATATTCGAGTGAAGTAAAATTTTGTAGCTGTGAAAATTTGTATTCAATCAGACGTTACTTTAAATTAGTTTTTTTTTTGTTTTAAGAACAGAAAAATATAGCTAAATTTTACAGATTCACAGTAAATCAATGTATTCATCGTCTCCGATAACGAATGATCAAAAAGGTGACAATTTCTTATCATCAGATAATGATGGATGTATCAGAAAGGATTCATTGTTAGATAACACAGTAACAATATTGGATGTCAATGAATCATTAATGAATATTGTGAGTAAAGAGAAGGAAAGTAATATGCAACAATCTATCAACGATGGAAATATCGTAAAATGTGATAATAATCACTCTCAAATTGAGGTTGCTAATTTGATAAGAATAATTAAAATATTTAATGATGAACAATTCTTTTGTTTTTTTCATTACTTATTATAATTAAGAACGCTTTCAAAGGTTTTCTTTCCGAAAGAAATAGGGAAATAAATTATAATTTTCATTTATATCATTAAAAAGAATGTGTTCATTTCAGAATTCAGTGTTACAATCACTACCAGCACAATCATCATCATCGATTGAACCAGAAAATAAACTTGTTAATCGAGCTCTGGAATTAGCACAATCACTTTTTGGACCAGATACGACAATTGTGAAAACATTTCAAGCAGCTCCAACACAGCGTGAATTTAATTTCGATGACGATACCGCTCAAATTTCTCGTAAGTATAAATATTTCTTCAGCAATCATGAAGTTATTTTTTATGTTTTCATGGAAATAAAAATGTTTATTTAGAATTGGTAAATATTTAAAATTTCTTTTTAATTTTAAATAAAAATCTATCGAAGAAAAAATTAAGTCCACGTTCAAATTTATATTAAATACAAAAAATTTTCAATTTTAAATTCTCGAAATATTTTTTTAGGGTTGGAAGATAAGGGAGAGGATGAGGAATGGTTAGAAAGTGATGAAATGAAACAATATGGAAATTCAAGCTATTGTGCAGATACAATTGATTATTTTAAAAATCGAATTGCTTCAACCGCATTAAGCTCACAAACTCCTTTATTGAATCGTACTGATTTCACCGCTCTTGAAGTTAACATTTCTTTTTTTTAATTTTTATTTTTTTAATTTAACTATTACTTGTCGACATGTTAAAATAATTTGCAAATTCTTATAAAAATTATAAAGCGTTTAAAAATATGAAAAAAAAACCACAATTCCTTTGCTCTTTTCGATTTCTCCAGTTATTCTAAGCAAAATTTCTATTATTTATAATGTTGAAGGAATAGGAAGATGGACGAGAATTATCGTTTAACCTTACTCACTAACTCTAAAATTCTTTTAATTTAAACTTTTAAAAAGTACTGACTTGAAATGTTAAGTTGCATCTCGTAGAGCAATAAAAATGTATTTTATGATCGGTTTTTGGTGCATTTTGATATTTTTGTTGAAAGTTTTGATCGTATCGCTTCTTCGAGCGAAAAAGAATAAATGAAAAAAGCGAAGTGGCAAAAATGATTTAATGAAAAATGAAAGGAAATGTTAAAATAAGAACTACTACTTATGCATTCTATTGATCTGTTAGAGTTTCATGCCTGGTTCGATTCTTCAGTATTTGACTTCCAATTTTTAAAAAGTCTTAAGCATCATTTTTAATTTACAGGTCTTGAATGCCATTTATCGCAATGCGCCAGTTGGAGGTTCTCGTTTTGCAAAGCCCACATCAACAACATATTCATATATACCACAAAATGCTAATTCACAAGCTCGATTGAAAACTAAAGAAAGTTTGAAGACTAAAGAATGTAAGTTATTCGGTTCATTTTGATTTAACTCTTGATTTCTTTTTTTTATAAAAACTTCAAAAAAATTCAATATATTGAAAATTTTTAATTTTCCCGAATTATTGCATGGAGTATGAAGTGAAATTTAAATTATTAAACAGAAGTAATATTGTAAATATTAATTTTGCAAATGTGCTACATTTTCCATCATTAATTTCGTGGTTAATTTTTCCAATAATCAATAAATGGCAATTTGTAGCATAACTTTTAGTATATTAAATAATTTATTTTGGTGCTTTTTCAATCTTCTATTATATCTAAACTTTTATGCAAATTTTATATTAATTATAGCGACAACAACGAGCACAGAACAATCGTCAAATGAAACAGAACAATCGTCAAATGAATGTGATGAAGAGATTTTTCATCAACGACAACGTAATTTGATGGATGAGTACTTTCATCGATCAGGTGATTTACGTCATATCAAAACATCTTTTGGTCGTCAGGGACAATTATGGGCTGACCAGAAGTATTATGAATATTATGAATACTTATGCAAGGTAATATTCTCTCTTTTATTTTAGCTTTAAACTTTTCCTTTAATAGCACTACTCCATTCAGTTGCTTCTATTTATTTCTTCTTTATGCTATAGAGTGAAAATGAAAAATGTTAGATTAACTTCAAAATTATAGAAATATTATCTGTGAAGCTAAGAGAAGAAATTTTAACAATACTTAAAAAAAAGAATCTTCAACTTTCAACATGATTTGATAGTTGGATGGAATAACTAATTTATGCAATAACTAATTTTGCTAACAATTGTAAACTCAACGATGAATTAAATCTAAAGAGCTGAAAGAAAACAATGAATGAAATTTTATGATTTGATCATGCAAAATCTAGAAGTAGCAAAATAACTTTTAGTTCTTCAAGAAAAAATACAAAAAAAAAAAATAGTACTAAGTACTTTATGATTTTTATGAAAAAATTGATAATAACATCATTTGTAATAAAAGTGAAGCTAAAATAATCATTTAAGGCAAATAAAATTTTGCTAAATTAAAAAAAACAATTTTAGTACTAATTTTTTGAAATTTTATAGGGCATCAAACGCGCATTATCACATCCAGGTTCGTTTAATTTAGACTGTGGTGCTGGTAGCGTTCATACTCCATCTAATCAACAAGCTAACGGAATTTGGTACATTTAACAATTGCTAGCATTGAATTTTTCCCAACAAGTTTAGAATTTAGAAAGTAAATTTATCTAATTTGAAAAAATTTTGCATACGATAATGTGTGATTAAATTATGCAACATTTAACATTTTATTTACTAATTAACTTCATGAGAAAGTTGCTGCGATAGAGAAGTGAACAAGCAATTCTGTTTGTCAGTTTTTTCTAAAATTTGGAAAAATTGAATTCAAACAAATGATTTCTTCAAATTCAACAGTGAAAGAAAATGTGACTAATTTTTTTTTTCAAATTCTAGCCGGGCAATGAAATCTAATCTGTATTATCAGTATAGTCCAGGACCAGAAATATATTCAAGAAAAGTGTTTGTCGGTGGATTACCAATCGATATTGATGAAAGTATTTTTTTTTCTTCCTCTTCCATTCATTGATTAAAATTTGCAATAATTTAACGGTAATTAATTATTTTAAAATTGAATGATTCTATTTTCAGATGAGCTTACAGCTACTTTCAGTCGTTTCGGTCCTTTGATTGTGGACTGGCCAAACAAAGGTGAAAATAAAAGCTACTTTCCTCCTAAAGGTATTTAATTTTTAATAATTTCATTTGGTAATTATCAATAATCATTAGCGCTCAATCAATATAATCGATGATTATACGGTATGTTACATCGGCAAGCATTAAAACATTTCTTACTCATTTATCATAATTTAATAATTTTTATTCGAAGATTAAATTCAATCAGCTAAGCCATCGTTTCATATATCATTAAAATTTCATAAAAATGATAAAAGGGAAGAATATCTTATTTCAGGCTACGTATTTCTTATCTTTGAATACGAAGTTAGTGTACGCGCATTGGTGCAATCATGCTTCATGGAAGATGAAAAACTTTTTTTATACATTTCGAGCCCATTATCACCTGATAAACTGGTTAGATAAGTTTATTTTCGGTATGTGTAGATAAATTTAATTTGATTTCTTATTTTTAATTTCAAAATAATCCTTAAAGCAATCTTTTTGTTTATTTATCATTAATTTATCACTTAACACTATAAATTTTTAATATGATGTATTTTGCAAATTGTTCAATCTTTGATATCAAAAATTTTTAAGAAAATGACGATAGATGCAATTTTTATTTGACCTTTTTTCTTTGATATCTTTTTTAGGTACAAATTCGACCTTGGCGTCTTGCCGATGCAGATTATGTGGTTGAAGCGAGCATTCCATTATATGCACGACGTGCTGTTTTTGTCGGTGGAGTACCACGACCTATTAAAGCAGGTCTGCTTTTTTACTCTTTAACAATTTAGCATAGCAGATATTTTGAAATAAGAAGCTAAAATTCATTTTAGTAGAATTAGCACATATAATGGATCGTCTATATGGAAGTGTTGGTTGTGCAGGTATCGATACTGATGTTGAATATAAATATCCGAAAGGTAAATCATTATTTGAATTAAAAAATTCTATCTAACTCTATTAATTATCATTTAAGATTGAAAATTTAAAATTCTAAATTCTATAACATACAAAATGTATTATTTAGAAATGCTGAAAAATTGGAAGCTAATTAAAAAATTAAAAATAAATTTGCAGGTGCTGGACGTATAGCATTTACCAATCAGAATTCATACATGAAAGCAATTACCGATCGTTACGTACAATTAAGTCATGGTGAAGTGGAGAAACGAGTAAGCATAAGCGATCATAGATAGGCCAATTGATAATTGTTAGAAAGTAAATGAAAGCTTTTAAAGGTTGAATTAAAGCCATATGTATTGGATGATCAGCCATGCGATGAATGTGGTGGTGAACGTTGTGGACATCGATATGCACCATTCTTCTGTCCACAACTTTCCTGTTTGCAGTATTATTGTGAGAAATGTTGGACGACGATACACGGATGTCGTGCACGTGAAGATCATAAGCCATTAGTTAAAGAAGCTTAGAAAAGAAAAGAAATAAAGCTAACATAATATTTTGTATTACTTTCATAAAGTATATTAAAATTTTTCTTCTAATACTGTGTAATTTTTCTTTTGTCCACATATTTAATTTTAAAATATTGAAATTCAATTTGAATTACATACAAAGTTATTTCAATGTACTGCTAGTCTTGTTATTTATTTCAGTTATAAGACACAAAAAGAAAATATGAAATGCATTAAGCAATTAATCAATAAATTATTTCAAATTCATTAAAAAATATGTTTATTGCCATGAATGAAATATAATAAATATGAATAAATATTATTAAAACAAAATTTTTTCTTCATCAATTTCATTTTAGCCTTTTGTTTCTATCACTTTTGCTTTCATTATTTACAATTTGTTTATTTTCATTTTTTCACTTCCTAAACGATTTCAAAAATAAATTTTATTTCTATCACATTAAAATCATAAAATATGAATTGAATAAGTTATGAAAATTTTCATGGAATTTCGAATTAAATACTCGAATTTTTTCCTTAGAATAAAAATTTCGGAATAATTTACAAGGTGAGCAATACTGGAAGATGTAAGCAATATCCTATCAGTATAAATAGCAGTAAAAAAATCTCTGATAGATGCATATTTTTCGTTGTAGAATTAGAGATGATATTAGCTAATGTGTAATTACTGGTGATCAATTCATTATTCTGCACTTTGAACTTTGAACTACCAACACGTATCATTGCATTTGTAGGCTTGATAACGTTGCATGCATAATTGGTACAGAAACAATATTGGGCTTGTAATGGATGTGCAGGTGTAGTTTTTAATAAAATATTTGAGTGATAGCAATTATTGGACTGGATCCGGTTTGCTGGAAGAACAAACGTTGAGCAACCATGTGACATACCTATAAATAGATTTAAATTACATTTGAACTTTTATCATCATTTATTGTTATATGGATGGATAATAAGACAACAAAATTTAACTTAATAATTTCTCTAATTACTGAATAATTTATGTAATTCTTAAAATTTAAGTTTGATAAATTTATTGAAAAAAAAAAGAAACAGTGATTTTGAAGTGTTTTTTTTTGACAGAACTACTTCGTCACATTTATTACTGAAGCAAAAAAAAAATTAAGCATGTAAATTATTTTATCATGCGGAAAATTCTTCATAATGGATGATTGATGATAAGGTTTTCATCATTATTTAAAAATAAATACCAAATAATAGAAGTTGTTTAGTTTTGATGTCGTATGTGGTGACATTTAATGTGTAGCACGGATCACGACATATTTGAATTCTGGCTGTTTTTCCTGATTCGCAACGCGGTTGTTGCTCATTTCCTTTGCTGTTGTCTTGAAGAATTCGTGGATTGTTAAAAAATGCACCATAATGCTGCAGTTTATGATGCTGACTTTTGATTAGTTTCGTATTTCATTTAGAGACTTTGCAGGAAATGGCAACTTAAGAAGTTGGTCTATCAAAAGGGCTAAATGCTTTAAGGTCTTACTTATAAAGCTTTATCCTATTGGTACACATCATATCATTAACTTTCAACCCATTGTATTTAATTTTGCCTTGCATGCATCACATCTTCAATAAAAATGAAATTTCAAAGTGTTTTATATACCGTTATTAAGATGCTAATTTTTATTTCATCTATTTGTTTACTAAAAGAAAGTGTTAAAATCATTTGGATTAGATGCTAAGGTAGTTCATCTATCCAATAAAATTCCATTTTACAAGGTTTGAAATTTCAAAAAAATTGAAATTTGAGAAAGAAAAATTATACCTACCACTTCAATATTTGGATCTGAGCATTGGAAGCAAAGATTTTGCGCTGTACACAATATTATACTGTATAGAGAATTAAGAAATATTAGCGTAATTCGATTACAGCAACAGTGCATTCCATTCATTTATTAATTCGATTCAGTTTAATTTAGTCTTTCATCCAAATTCATATTTCAATTATAATTTAATTTTTAATAAAATGTCAACAAAGATAGTTTAAATTTAAAATGGCTGTAAACAAATGTGTTTATTTAAAAAGAAAAGGTAAAGCAGACAAAAGAATTCAAAACGCCTCAGATTTTTTATTGAAATTAAATCCGAAATGCAAAAGCTCCTCGCTTATATAACAAATAATAAACAAAAAGAGATGATATATTTTGAAAGTGTTATTATGCCGTGATGTAGTAGCAATTTAAATTTAAATTTAAAAAATCAAATCATCAATCTATCCTAAATTTAAAAAATGAATATATCGATTTGAAATGTTTGAAATGTCATGCACTAACGAACATTCTAAATCATAGCTAAGCAAAATGTCAACAAAATTATATGGTAAAGCAATGATTCGTTATGACAATCCATCATTTGCAATAATTATCGCTTTCAATATATCAATCATCGAAGATGAGAAGGAACTGGAAAGTACGGGAGAGACCGAAGTTGAGAAGTAATGGAGAAAATGAGGGAAAGGGAAAAATAATTGTCTGTGATCATTTTTGTTAAAAATAACTTTACAGAAAAATTCCATCAATGCTATCAATTCACTATCCTGTCATATAATATCAACATTATCGTAGTAAATATTTCTGGGATTTTTAATTTTCTCATTTTAGATTGAAAAATTGATAATTCTTATATGTGATTTGAGATGACAGTTAGGCATGCATATAAATATGGATATCATATACAGCCGTCCCTAAGCTCATTCACCTTTCTACCTCCTACTGTGCCCTTTGCAAGGTCATCTTATTATAAATTATCCTTGTTTAAGAAATAATATACCATTTTTGAAATATTAACAGTAGAAAAAAAGTTTGAAGCAAAGGTAAAATTATGTAAACGAAAG